CGCCCAGAGTCATCCGTTGGGGGAGATGGGCGGCATACAAATTTAATAATGAATGAATGAATGAATGAATGAATGAATGAATGAATGAATGAATGAATGCCTTTTAATACAAATACAGAGACCTCTGTGGGCAGGTATTGACTGCAAACAGGCATCAGCTGGAAGAAACTGAGTCCCAAAATGAAGTGCATAAACTGGAAAAGCTACTTAACAGTAGGGAAGCATTAATATTCCAAATGATCACTGGCTGGAGATAAAGTAGCTTTGTGTTTTCCCTTGTTCCCATTTGGAGTTCGCAAGTACACTTTACTTATTACTTCCACGGGGGATTCCTTTGTTAGCTCTACTATTGCTTGACCTCTTTTGCTTATGCTGCTCACTGGAAGGTTTTTGTTCTTGTCTGACACATCCTTGTTCTTGGTTATCAAGCAGGAGTGGGACAATAAACCCCATCACTCCTCTTGCTGCAGAAGCCTTCTCAAAGCCAGCCATTAATCAACAAAACACAAATGCGGACTGAAAGCTAGTAATGATTAAAAAAAAAAAATACAGCTACAACTTAAGAGATAAGCGAATGGGGAGTTTCAATAGCACACTGCATTTGGATGGCAGAAGGCCGCTGGTAGGCCTCTGTAAGTAACTGCAGCTGCATTTCTCACCAACGTGATATCCTGGCTTTGTCCTCTAAGCCCAAGGAAGCCCCTTTGCAAACAAGAGGAAAGAAGGGAACGGATATATGAAGTGGGAGGGGCGAGGTGGTCTGCAACCCCACCATTTGGCAGGAATGTCCCCTGATGGATGAGCAGCTGGACGGGACTCTGCTGCCAGTTATGAGTCATAAATAACAGTGCCAGTGGGCGCTGCTCTGGGTGCCTGGCAAAGAGGAGGGAAATGTCAAGAGGCTGGGAAAGAAGGTGGGAGTTGCGGAGAAAGATGGCATTTCTTAGAGGAAGGCTGGCTCCGAGGCCATTATCTGCGCTCCTTCATGCATCAAAGAGTCATCGGTGCTTTTGGCTAGAGCAGGGCAAAATCAATTAAGGCTTCTGAAGAAAACGAACCCCAATGCTCTGCTTCACATTTCACAGAGCAGTGATATGAATAACAGATATGAGTGACAGAGCTTAATGTGTCTCTCTGCTTAGGAGCAATGCCATACATCAGGCTGCCAAGAAGATACTCAGGTGCAAATAATACAATGTATGACCAGCAGAGGGAGCATCTTTTATTTGATGCCAACGAAGGGGGCTGAAGAGGCTAAACAGTTCTTCCTTTCCTTCTTTTTTGTCCCTAAGGCTTTAAAGAATGGCTTCTTTTCTTTTTTCTTTTCAAATTTATCGCACTATCCTGCACAACATGGCAAAGGACGAAGACGTAGGTTGGTGGTGCAAGGCTTTGGAGTCAAAGGCAAAAAGGTGCTTTGGAGAGCAGGGGGGCTGGGACACAGCACCGGCCTACAACTCTCCAAAGCAGCCAGGCCTCTTTGTGGACTGTTCAACAGCCCCTTTGCAGCTGCAGCACAATCCGGAGAAAAGACAGGCGAATTGCTGCAGAAGCATCCCTACATGCTCCAAAGCACCTTTTTGCCTTCACACCTGAAATAACTGAGCGATGTTCAAGGTCAGCCTGATAAAATGCTAAAGCAGTGTTGTCCAAACTTGGCCACTTTAAGATGAGTGGACTTCAACTCCCAGAA